CACAAAAATCTCCTATTAAAGTATCCCACTCAAAAGCTTGAAGAAAAAATAATAGGTATATAAGTACTGGAGTTGAACAAAGAAATCAATTAGATTCAATCCTTTAACACAATTCATCCAAAGTGTCATATTATCTCGTCTACTTATCTCTATCCCATCCTAAACTTATCATGGTCCCTGAGTTAGGTTTTGGCTCACCTGGTTTGTAATGCTCTCTATCTAAAAGTCCGTCCTAACAGCCCATAAGTTTTTAGCCTAGTTATCCGGATGAAAACGGCATGGGCTCATTTTACCCAATTATTTATCTAGAAGTCCATTCCAAGTGATCTTGGTCCATTAAGTCTTGGTGATACATTTTGGTCCTTTAATTTCCTAGGGTGCGGGAATCCATTATTTGTAGTTAGTGTTTAATCGATTAGATTTAAAATGGTTTGATTTCCCACTGATGGGGGGAAGGTTTAAACATTTCCACATCAAAAGTTTAATTTGTAAAGAAAATAAAAGTATATAAGCTCTTGAGTGGAACAAAGTAATCAATTGTGATGGATATGTTGGGTCGAAAGAGAAGTGTTAATGTAATTATTCTAATATATTGGGCAAAACATTTTATTTTTAATAGCATTTCTAGTCAAATTCGAGTCTAACCTCCTCGAAAAAAACCTTGGCATTTACCTTGAAAGTTGCAACTACCTAAGCTACTGCACATCATACTCAATTCCCCCACAATTTATATGGTAGAGCGAGTTGTACCATTTTTTACAGTACAATCGGTAATTGGATTCAAGGAGATGCCGGCGAAGGGGAGGTCGATAATTGGATCGAAGGGGATGCACTGCGTCGATCAAAGGGGAAACCGACACATAACCCTAGGTGGGACAAAGTGTATCACGACGGCAGCAATTGAAGGGCACAGCGGCAGAAGAACGGAACCCTAGCTGCAAATCCGACGCAACCATCTCCTCCCTTCAATATGTGCCCTAATTATTTCAAGGTGAAGCATTGAAGAAGATGAAGGTGGTGGCGGCGATGACAGCGGGTCTACTGTAACGACAACGGTTGTAGGCGGCGATGATGGTGGCGGTAACCAACGACTTTGATTCTTCATTAATAATTAGGTTGTTTGAATGGTACATTTTTCACAATAAACACTACGTTGTTTCAAAATGAAGACTACATTATTTGTAAAATCAATATAGTATAATTATAATGAACAAATGTGTAAAAATAAAATATTGTTATTTCAGAATGAACACTACGTTATTTCAAAAAAAACACCACAGTATTTCAAAATGAATTCTCTTTGTACTCTAAAATGAACACTTATGTTTTATACAAAATAAGTACTACTTTACTTCAAAATGAGCGCTATCCAATTGAACCATATTTCATGTATATCGGCTATACAATATACCCACTCAACCCCCCCTCTCCGTATCTTACGTGCATGAAAAATGCTACGGTCACCAAAAGGTGATCCCAATTCCCAATTTTCACCCTATACATCAGCCACATTGAGATCTACATACACTCTATAGTCAAATTTTATTATTTTTAACCATTACATCATATTTCCTCCGTTTTAAAGTATTTGCTTAGTTTTATATTTTTGAATTAATTACAATCAATATTTTACCAATATAATTAAATAAATTTTTTTGATATACTAATTAGATAAAATAAATATTAGTTTGAAAATATTATGCAAGATAAATTTAATAAAGTTATTTTTATATTAATAAATAATATGGTTTAGTTTTTCACTTTTAATTGTAAAAAGACAAAATTGAACAAATAGTCTAGCAAGGAGGTAGTGCTATCATTTTGGAAGTAGGTAGTAATAATATTTTGTAATTAGAAAATTTAATATTTTAACATTTATATTAAAGAATTACAGTGTATGAATCATTAACAATCAAAATTGATGAAGTTTGTTTTCAAAAATTAAACTATTATCTTTAATTTGAGAAAGAAAAAAATAATTAGGGTACGCAAACACTTCCCTTATCCCAAAATAAAATATCCTGTTACTATCTTGACCTCCCAATAAGTTTTGAAATACAATATCCTATTATTATCTTGACCTCCCAATAATTTTTGATTACTTATAAGTTTCCATTGATTACTCACCGTCTGAAAGTATTTTTCTATCTTTAACTTTTTATAGTTAATCTGGATTGACTTTTCATCTATAATTGAAAAACAATTATGTGGTATATTAACTAGATAAAACAATGTATTAACAATATTTTACAAGATAAATCTCATAAAATTATTCTTGCATCAATATCAAATATATAATTAAATAAAAGTTCATTTTATCAATTTGACTGCAAAAATTCAAAACTAATAAACAAATATTCTAGGACGAGGTAATATTTGATAAAATAAAACATTTTGCCACATCTTGTTTTATTAGAGTATAAAAATTTTTCTAAGTCACAACCACAAGCTTGAGCTTTTTGGTCGAATTGGTTCCTTGACATAGTATCAGAGCCTTGATGACCAAAAGGTCCCGAGTTCAAGACTCACTGTCACCTAATTTTGAAAAAAAATAAAGTTTCACGTGCAATGGTGAAAAAAACCATCCCTGCGCCCATGCCTGCACGTGAGGCGACGTCTTAAAATATAAAAATGTTTTCCGAGCCACAACCATAGGCTTGAATTTTTGGTGGAGTTAGTTCCTTGACATAGAAGCTTTGTTGTTCAAGAGGTCATGAGTTCGAAAATTTAATATTTTTTGAGACTCAACGCCACCCAGTATAAAAAAATTAATATTCAGGTGCAAGGCTCGAGCAAAAAAAAACAAATTTCGTCTGCAAGTGAGGAGGCGTGTTACAAGATTGAGTTGGTTCCTTGACATGTTCCATAGAAATTTTGACGTAATAATTTAATATGTAAGTTTTAATTTTTTTAATATTGATTTGTAAATTAAATATTTTTCAAAGATGCAAGATTTTACTCATATTTTCAAGAGTGTACTCAATTTTGAGACCAGGGAATTTCTTGAAAAGAATAAAAAATATGAGAATACCAATATGAGAGTTCTAACTATTTTAAAGAGTTTTTTGTGCCGATCATTGACGTTGATCTGCAAGCCTGTAGGCGGTTAACTAATTACAATGTCAGTACACTCCCATCATAGTATCATTGCTCTTTCATTATACTTTCATTATAGTCTTATTGAGACTTTTTATTTAGGTGATTCCTATTTTGATAATTTAGTTTATGGGTGTGTTACTTAGTTTAAGAACTTTAGGAGGAAGTAGGAGGAAGAACACTGCGGAGCAATGTTGATGAAGAACTAAATAGTATAAGGAATTGTGTATAAACGCTTTCAGACCAAAGTTATTTAGAGGTAAAAGAAATACTTCAATCGGATAAGATGTTTATCAAGAACAAGCACAAGAAATCAGATACCTCAACCTATACCACGAGACTCTATTTATAGAGAAGAAGAAAGCATTTCAACGAAAGGTCTCCCCGCCAGGGGCTGCCACCCCTCGGACCTTGCTACCCAGGGGCTGCCGCCCCGTACCCCCACTGTGAATTTGTAATATTGTTGAACTAGCACGCACTCTGCGCCTCCTAACTCGTTTGACAACATTTATTTAAATTCTTGTCCGTCTAAGTAACTTCAATCACACAAAATAGCCGATGACACTAAAATCACCAACACTTAGGCTATTGGCCTATTTGGGCGTAGGCTTCAAAAGAGCATAGACATGACTAATTTGGCTATGGTGTCGTTTGGCACCACTGCATGTGACCATCGGCATCAGTATGGATGGGACTAGATTTTTTATTATCTTTGTCGCATAGATAAGGAGTAAAAATCTATAGTGTGTACAAAATTTGTAGTTGATTGGGATTGCCCTTCTCACCTATCTTAGCTATCGCGGTTCTAACGCTCTGTTTGTTCAACTTATTCTTTCTAATCTGATTTGATTTTTTGTAGTTCTGATCTGATCTGATCTAATTGGATCAGATCTGATCTATGGATCTCATCTGATCTATCTGATCTGATCTGATTAATTATGATTTGATTTAAAATTCAAATCACTAATTTGATTTGACTATATAATAATGTTTGAAAATTGTAATGATAAATCATATTATAATATAATTAATATTTTTTATTTTATGATTATTTTTTAATGAAATAAAATTAGTTAATTCATATATTAGAATAATCATTCATATTATAATGTAATAATATTATTTATTTTATGATAACTTTTTTATGAAATAAGAATATTGATTTAATATTTTAATAATTAGTTCATATATACATTATAATAAATATTTAATTCATATATACATTAAAAAGTAATTAAATTTAGATAATCAATATAGAGAAGAGATAATGTTTTTATTAAAATATCTCATCCTTATAAAATATCAGCGTGTGCTTTGTACTAAGAAACTTTTTTTATGATTAATATATCACCATAGATATAATAGTTATTTTAGTTACCCTAAAGTATACTCCGTATATGAATATCAAATGTTAATTTTATTTAAGTCATGGTCAAAGTTGATCAAGTTGATGTAGTAAAAGATCAAAACTTTAGAAATTCAAATTACAAGTAGCAATAAAAATTTATTTTTAAAGTAGAATTAGATTAGCATTGTCAATGTATTTTAAAAATAATTTTTCCGACGTCTAATAATTAAGGATTACTTTTTCAATTTTCTATTTAACTTGTTTCTAAAGTTTATTCTTTTTCATTTTTTAGAATAATAATAATAATAATAATAATAATAATAATTCTTGATTAGATCTGATCCGATTGGATCTGATCTGATTTGATTAGATCTGATCTGATCCGATCCGATTGGATCTGATTTTTTTTAATAAGAATAAAAAAAGCATGAAAAACAACGGGGCCTAACTTAATTCTGCGTGGGCACACTGCCATCATAGTTTAAGTAAAGTTAAAAGTTGGGCAAGAGAGAGTAATGGCGACTTGATGAATCACAATAATTAAGGAAGATCGGACCTTAATTCCTGCAGATGGTCTGATGTTGAAAATCACTGCGCCTCTGAGCCGAACAGACTTGGGCAGATTATTTTTGTTGTCATTGCTTTCGCTCCATTTTTGCTTACCTAAAATATCAATATATAGAGATTATTGGATTAACACTTGAATAAATTTTAATTAATTATAAGTCCATAATTCTTATTTAATTTTATATCAATAATTAAAATTAGAAAAATCTTTAGAGATAGAGATATCATACCTTGTCTGACCCACAATATTAGTTCAATTTCTATTGGAAAATAAATGTGATCAACTTACTCCAGCAAAAATTATTTAAATAAGTTTCTTGCTGAATTCGAGAGATCAGAATCCAATTCAAGCAAAAGAAATAAAGTTTACCGTATTTCCGGTTCAGATAACGTGACATCCCGGCTTGTAATATCCCCATCAAGACATCATTCACGGTCTGAAAATTACATAGTAAGAATTAAATAAAAATATATTTAAGTATCATTTGATGATAAAGTTTGTAACAATGTTTCAGATAGATTTTTAATAGTGTGAGAAGGTTTGAAATTCCAACGTTAAAATATAAATCTTGATAAAGTTTCCAAAAGGGTATGTAAAACTCAATAGGGAGTATTAATAGATACCGGTTTTCCACCTCACTCTTTTTATAGAGAAAAATAGATACCGGTTAGATTTTCAGTGGGCCGTAGATAATGAGTGGAGTATTAGGTGAAATTATTCATTTTGTTTATAAATTTTGGATCTATTTAATACGGAGTAATTAAAATCACTAAACCAATAAGTGAGTTTCACCTTTCTTTATATTGGAGTGGTATTTGTTGAATGAATCCGACGTGGGAACGGAGAACTACCAACACCATCTCCAGTGGTAAGTACTAAGGTCCCGTTCCGTTTAACTTATTTTTTCTTATTTTTATTAAAATTACTACCAATCAGATCAGACCAGATCAGATCAAATCAAATCAGGTCCAATCAGATCAGACCAGATCAGATCAGGTCCCATCAAGAATTATTATTATTATTATTAACAATGAAAAAAATAAACTTTAGAAACAAGTTAGATAGAAAACTAAGAAAGTAGTCCTAAAATAAAAAATATTATTAAGTAAGTTATATATGAACTAATTATTAAAATATTACTTTTTAATAATTAAAAATAAATATATGCTAATTTTGACTGAGAAAGTTATATATTATTAAAAATATTAGAAAGTTATATATGAAGTAATTATTAAAATATTAAAATAATATACTAATTTCACAAAAAATAATCATAAAATAAAAAATATTATTACATTATAATATCAATGATTATTCTAATATATGAATTAACTAATTTTATTTTATTAAAAAATAATCATAAAATAAAAAATATTAATTAGATTATAATATGAATTATCATTACAATTTTCCAACGTTATTATAAAGTCAAATCAAATATTGATTTGAATTTTAAATCAAATCATAATTAATCAGGTCAGACCAGATCAGATTAGAAACAATCAGATTAGATCCAATCAGATCAGATCAGAACTACAAAAAATCATATCAGATCAAAAAAATAAGTTGAACGGAACGGAGCCTAAGGCCCCGTTCCGTTCAACTTATTTTTTCTTATGTTTTCTTAATCTTATTAAAATCAGATCAGATCAGATCTAATCAGATTAGATCAGATCCAATCAGATCAAATCCAATTAGATCCAATCAAATCAGATCAGATCAGATCAGAACTTATTAAAATAAGATCCCATCAAGAATTATTATTATTATTATTATATTATTATTGTTGTTGTTGTTGTTGTTCTTAAAAATGAAAAAGAATAAACTTTAGAAACAGGTTAAATAGAAAAATGAGAAAGTAATTTTTAATTATTAGACGTCAGCAAAATTAGTTTTAAAATACATTGACAATGTCAATCTAATTTTATTTTTAAAATATATTTTTACTGCTACTTGTAATTTGAGTTTCTAAAGTTTTGATCTTTTATAAGGATGAGATATTTTAATAAAAATACTATCTCTTCTATATATTGATTATCTAAATTTAATTACTTTTTAATATATATAAATTAAATATTTATTCTAATGTATGTGTGAATTAATTCTTAAAATATTAAATTAATATTCTATTTTCACAAAAAAATAATCATAAAATAAAAAATATTATTACATTTTAATATGAATGATTATTCTAATATATGTATTAACTAATTTTATTTAATTAAAAAATAATCATTAAATAAAAAATATTGATTATATTATAATATGAATTATCATTACAATTTTCAAACGTTATTATAAAGTCAAATCAAAATTATTGACTTGAATTTTAAATCAAATCATAAATAATCAGATCAGACTAGATTAGGTCAGATCAGATCAGATCTAATCAAATCAGATCAGAACTTATTAAAATTAGATAAGATCATAAAAAATAAGTTGAACGGAATGGAGCCTAAGTAGTCTAGTCTAGCTAGTTCATATATGGATAAATGGGTCTAGTAGTATTTCAATCTCTTTTTATCTACTATGGTGAATATAAAGATGAATCGTATTCGAATCGAATTTGGCTCTAATACCATATTAATTTTCAGTGGGTCAAATGAATCAGGTGGAGTATTGGGTGAAATTCATCACTTAACATTTCAAGTCCAGATTCATTTTATGACCCAAAAATTTTAGAAATGAAAACGGAGAACTACCAACCATGTATGTACGTGAATGTGTGGGAGAAGATTGAATTGGTTACCAGTGTGGACGGGACTCAACAACTTACCACGTTGAGTGCATTTTTGATGAGTTTGATGTCATCGAGACTTATTGTGCGATGCACGAGCCGTCTCCCCGGCAAGTCTGCTGCTCTGCCGCCACAAGAATCAGTAGTATGACTCTTCTTGATTATTATCCCTCCTCCCTTCAAGGGAGTATGGGTGTCCTTGAGAAACAGGAGAGTGGCCAAGAAGAGCAGCATGTCCACGACTGTGTTCACCACCAGCATAAGAAACAGGAACGGGCTGCCGAGCAAGAAGCCGAATCCGGGTCGTCGTCGGGCGGCGGTGGGGATTGTGGGCAGGGCATCGGGATCGGAAGTCTTGCGGGTGCAAGCGAGGAAGAGAGAGATGAGGGAAATGCCGTCCCCGAGGGAATGGTGCATCCTCAGGATTCCTGTGGAGTTTGCTTCAGAGGTTTTCACGTTCAGTATGTGAATGTCCCACAATGGCTTCGACATGTCCATTTCCTTGGTGGTCAGGGATGATGTGTAGTTCTCCACCAACATGTCCGCCGCCGTGGCTTCCATGTCCGCCGGCTCCAATTCCGGGCATATCACGTGCTTCTCCACATCCACCTTCCCCCGAACCCACCTCTTCTTCCCTGATCTCTTATCCTCCGACTTGTAATTCATTATTATATTGTACGTCAAATTATCAATCCATAACAAATAATCAAGAAAAATACTAGAATGAAGAACTTGAGAACTACTGTATATATGCTTTGCTTTGCTTACTAGAGTGCTAGAGAAGCGAGGGTGATTGACCAAGGTGGACTCCAGACCCTTCTTGACGACTTCCACGTCGATCTTTGTGCTGCATCCCAATACGGCGATGATGTAGCAGTTGAGGTTTCTTGTGTGAAAGAGGCGCGTCGCCGGGCTCGCCGGCTCCTCCTCCGCCGCCGCCGCCCCTTCTAGCACCGCCGCATGGTGCTGGTTCCGGCCGTCATGCTTCTCCCTACTGTTGTTCGCGGGGGCGGCAGGAGTTGTGTTTGCTCTCGATGTGTCTATGGGTCTGAGAGGCGGCGGCGTGCTTGCCATTGTTGGTACGTGTGGGGAAGCCAATAACCAGCCGGGGACGATGGGAACACCGGCCACTTCCTTTGGGACCAAAGTATTCAATTCAATGAGAGACAATTGAAGATGATAATGCTCAACGAACCGCTATCATATCGGGTCTCCACACCGTACCCTCTTTGCACATATCTCCTCCTTAAATCTTTTCTGCCCTCGTACTGTCATGACTTTTCATTGTACTCCTTCATATTCTTTAATGCCGCTGGGCCACTTTGCATCCGCATCCCCATATCAAATGAGACACAATTATTACTCTCTCACTTCCGTTTTCAACTTTACTTTTTCAACCACGGTACACCCATTCAAATTGAATCCCAAAAATTTGCATTAGTACTCTAAGAGTGAGTCTACATACATCCAGATAGAATATGTTAGTTTAATATAAAAAATTATACTATCCCAGAGTAATATTTTGTATCACTGTAAATCATCATATTAGTATTACACATGTTTTTGGGGTACAATTAGTTTAATTCTTATCTTTTCTCGGTATGAAAATTACTCGCAAAATCTTAACTTACTGTTTTACGCTTAATTTCCATTCGTACCTTCCCACAACCCTTTTATTTACTTCCCACTCACCCTTCATTTATGCCCCACCAACCTTTTTTAAGGGACACAATGGAAAATAAATTTCATTTTACAAATATCTTACACTTACACCCAGAATATATTCTAAAGTTTTTTTGCACAAAAAACACAACTTCATTCCACAAACAAATAAGAGTACATAGGATTTAGTCTCCCAACCTTAACTCAACCTCTTGTAATTAAAGTAACTATGAATATATAGCTATAAGCAAATTCAACAGATTCATCTAAAGTACATCTCTTCTGATGACAAAGCTTGTTCATCATTCTCCAGATGTAACGCCCCAAAATATACCCTAGAATTATTAATGAATAATTATTCAATTAATCAAATTTGTTTTGATTAAAATAATTTATTGTTGGGCTTTGGGCCGAAATAATATGTGTTTGATATCCCATATCATAATCTGGATAAATCTCAAAGAGATAAATCCAACATATTGGTTTATTGTGTGATCTTAATTGGGAACCTGTGTACAGACCCAAGTTAAGAATAAATGAAAAATTTATTTATAATGTGAACTTTGAAACGATTTATTGAAATAAATCATCAAAACAAATTATATGAATTAAATGTGAGCACCTTTTTGAGTAAAGGTCAAACAAATCAATTTTGACACTTGTCAAAGTCAAACACCCAAAAATAGGATGTCAGAAAAAGTATTATAAATAAATATAAAATTATATCATTGGATAGAGTTCGACTGTCTGACCCCAACGGTTCAATCGATTTCAATTTGGAGAAAGTTGGACCAAAAAGTGTACCCCAACTGGGACCAGAAATTAGTCCTAATCAGGGACTACACTCCAAACGGCGCTGCTGATTCGAACGGCACACTAGCCACACCAAATATTCAGGAAATTTCTTCAGCTGGCTTCTTCTTCTTCCTTCCTCTATTTAAGAAATCCTAACTCCCTCACTTCTCCACCAAATCATCCCATATTTCTTTCTATTCTGCTGCCTTAAGAGAACCGGAAGTTTCGCCGTTCTTTCGTTGGAATCCTCGTTTAACTTCGAAGTAAGCCTGTAGATATATCTAATGACTAGAATGTTCATATAGGTCGTTTCTACGTTCATAAATGGTCATTTGGTTGAGTTTTGTGTTTTACATGCTTGAAAAACCAAGAATCATAAACCTTGAATTTGTTGTTAAAACTTCTAATTAATGGTATTTAAATGATTTATAAACATTAGAGAACATTTTTATATAGTGAAATTGAAGATTGGTGACTTAAAATGATGTTTTGAAAATTTAACCCGAGGTTGAATACGAAGTACTGTTGCTGGTATGCAGCAACGGTCGACCGTTCTTTCACCACGGTCGACCATTCTAGGATCTGAAACTCCAGTACCACAGTGGCAATGACAGTCGACTATCGCTTGAAAACGGTCGACCGTTCCAAACATTGTTTGCAACGAAAAATGCTATTTTTGAGTCTAAAATCTTATTTTTGATACCAATCAATTATGATTAATATAAAGATGATTTCTAGGAATAAAAATGATGTTTTGACAATTAAAAAGACCTTACGTGATGCATGACGGTAAGCTAGGGTGTTAACACTCGAAGTTAGACCGTTAATTGCTATTGCTTTGAATGTTATGTTGATTGATGATTATGATGAATGATTATTATGGATGATTATGATTGATGAACCTACTCATTAAAATAATTATTGTGAATGATTGAATCATGATTAAAAATGAATATATTGACGATTATTAAATGATTTGTATTGTTAAGAATATCTAGAAGAACTCTAAGATATATTGATGTTGGTTTCTAAGACTATCTAGAAGACCTCTAAGATGGCTTAACAATAGGCCTTGCGAGTATAATTATGAATATTCGGTGGCCTGGGTTAAAACGTACGTACGAGATCTACAAACCAAACTAGAGGAACTCGTTTGGTGATACCACCCAACCCGACAGTGAGCATTCCGCTATTCGGTTTCTGATTAACCTTAAGCGAAGGTAAGGTTATCTTGAACTAGGCCTAGCTTAAGGATTGGATAAAAGTACTTTAGACTAGAATATAGTTTAAGAATTTGTTAGAAATATCTTAAACTAGAATTCATTTAAGGATTGATAAATATGAAAGAGATTGACCTTAGACTAAGAATAGTTTGAGGATATTGTTGAATGACAAATGTTGAATATGAATGATGAATATACATGTTGAATGATTGAATAATGAATGTTGAAAATTGAATATTGATTATTGAATATCTGAACTGAACATTATGTGCATGATATCAAATGAATCGATTATGAATTGAGATTCAGTTTATATGGATGTTCGACGCATTAGATATGCTTACTCAGCTTCAACGCTGAGCGTGTAGTATGTTCTATTTGCTACACGCATGTTAATAGAACGATGTGACGTAATCTTGGAGGCAGACGGAGGCGAGATTGTCAGAATGGATGTGATGGTTTTGAATTGAAATACATAAATAAATTATGTTTGTAATTATGATTTGTTAAGTTTCCATGATATTGAAAGCTCCGTACTGTTTATGTTATGGAAAATACTATTGTGATAAATAAAAGTGTTTGAAATGTTTTAAATTCTTACGATTACCAAGTTAATGCTTTAGTCCAATAGGGGCTGCAGACCTGAGCGGATTAGGGTGTTACACCAGATGCAATACATACTGCCTGCCCGTATTGCACTGAGTTGTTGTCTGCGCTCCTCTTCAGCCCCTTCTTTTGAATGATGTCCTCAAGCACCTGGTGATTAGTGATCCCCACCTGTACGTTGAATTTAGATAGGCATGAGTTAAGTATATTTTGGGCCACATTACAATCCCAAAACAGATGCCTATTTGTTTCCTTTGCTTGTCCACATAAAACACAGTTCTGGTCTATAATCCATATATTTGCCCAGTCTCTCTTTAGTCTGCAGTCTTCCCTTCATAAGCAACCAAGTCATGCACTACATTTTAGGTAGGGCGATAGGATTCCACACTGCATCTTTCCACCTTGGTACCTCCCCTGTGCCTTGTAGCCAATCATATCCATCTTTGATTTTGTACTCCTGGGTCTTTGGCATATGTTTAAACTTCTCTCTCACTTTGATCATCTCTATCCAATAGTGACATGCATCCTTCTTTGGTTTGTATTCCCAATAGTCAGATCCTTTTAAGTATTTGCTATGTATCCATTTTACCCATAGCACATCCTTCTTTCCAGCCACATCCCAGTTCAACTTCATAATACCTGCATTACTCCAGTTTAAAGCATTCATAATCCCCAGGCCTCTAAACTTCTTCTTTTGACACACCGCTTCCCAGATAACCAAAGGCACCTTAGTATATTTAGATGAACTCCCCCATTAAAAGTTCCTACTAATTGCCATAATCTCTTTCATAACTCTCTTCGGTAAAATGAAGATTCTAGACCAGAAAGCTGTGATCCCCATCCACACAAAGTTTATGATCCTCACCCTTGCACTATATGAGAAATGCCTAGTACTCCATGCTGTAATCTTATAAGTAAGTTTATTAATCAAAGCATCACATTCATTCCTCTTCGGCTGTTGTTATTGGGCTTCCTAAGTAAGTAAATGACAGTTCTCCCATTTTCATTCCAGTCAGACCCAGTAAATCCCCTCTTTGCATCTTGTTTACTACTCTAAAAACCACTACAGACTTATTTTTATTGATACTCAGCCTAGTATCTAAATGAAACTAGTCCAACACCCTCATAATACAATTAATAGAATCCTTATGAGCCTTACTACTATTAAATCATCAGCAAAGCATAAGTTCACAATCTTAAGTCCCCCACATTTTGGATGATACTTAAATCTTTCTCTCTGGACACCCACTTGAAATCCCCTTATCAGATATTCCATTACCAACACAAAAAGGAGAGGGGATAGAGGATCCCCATGTGCAACACCCCAACCCGCGTAACCCGAATAAATAGGTTAGCGAACCGGGTTGCTACTAAATTGGTATCCACACATAATACTTCCAATAAATTAAAACATTTAATTAAACATCCAAACATTTCAATTAAAACTTAAACGTTTATCGGAGTTAATTCAAAACAACGCGGAAGCAAAACTGTTATTTTAAATAAACATCTTTAATAGATCATTATCAGAAAACGAGTTACATTACAACCATCATATCTGTTAACGGTTTGAGTCCTGCATCCGTACATCTCCTCCATCCCTGTGCCCTCCAGGATCAGCTTGTTATTACCTACGTGTAGAGAGAGGGAACAAACTACACGCTCAGCGATAAGCTTAATTCAAGGAACATCACTCAAATGGGGTTGCTTTGTCGATTTCATCTCGCTGCCCGTTAGTACCGCTGTCAACCTAACACTGCTACCTCGTCAAACTCGTTGCTGCCCGGAGGTCGAAATCACTCCCCAAATCTGACCGCCATGGACTGGAAGTCGCCGGAGAAATCTGTCACCGCCACCGCTGGAAGCTGACGCAACAGCTGGGATCGACGGAGGAACCTGTCAGTTGTCCTTGCCGGAGAAGAATCGCTGGAGTTTGCCGGAACAGTGGGGGGCGCTGGGTTTTGAAGGGTTTCTATTTCCGAGAAGGATTTGACGGCGCCACTGTCCAATTCGCCATCGGGAGTCGTCGTCGCTGTTGTGGCAACAATCATGCCCCCCCACTGTCCAATTTGAAAATTTCACTAGTTTACTCGTAACGGCTTCACAACAACTTTTCGTTCAACAATTCTTCATGCAATCCGTTCAAAGGGGATTTAGATGCTTCAGGTGACGGGACACAACACTGTCTTCCCGTTCAAACGTACACGAGTCTACGTTGTTGGGTCACAATGATTTCTTAAATGCATTTATTTAGAATACGTTCTTCATTATGGTACCAGACGATACCTGTGACGGTACGGGGTACTGTTCTCACGGTACCTGTGCTACGGTACCAGGGGTACCGTCGAATCAAATGAGCCCTTCCGGTAGGGTTGCCACGGTAGCTAACTACCGACCAGGCGATAGGGCCTACCGTCCGTCCGGTACCTAGGTACCGTACGGTTGCAGCTACCGGCAGAGGTGAAAGCAACCAACAGAGTGTGACGGTAGCACGGTACCGTCCCAGCGGTATCGCCTACTGGGTGACGTAACAGTTTCCATATTTACACTTGTTTCATTTTCAACATCCAACCAACAATAATCTCATAACAACTAATACCAATTGGTTCATAACAACATTCTAAACCACGATAACAATTTGAATGAAATTTCAAACCTAGATGCACATTCTAGTGTTAGATGTTCACGTACTCACCGTGATACGCTTAATTCAGGGAACCTCACTCGAATGGGGTTGTTTTGTCGATTTCATCCCGCTGCTCATCGGTATCGTTGTCAACCCAACACCGTTGCCTGGTCAAACTCGTTGATGCCCGGAGGTCGAAATCACTCCCCAAATCTGACCGTTATGAACCGAAGGTCGCCGGAGAAATCTGTTTCCGGAATGGAGGTCATTCCGCCGCCGCTGGAAGCTGACGGAACAGCTGGGACCGATGGAGGAACCTGCCGGTTGTCCTTGCCGGAGAAGAATCGCTGGAGTTCGCTGGAACAGTGGGGGACGCCGGGTTTTGAAGGGTTGCTATTTCCGAGAAGGATTCGACGGCGCCGCTGTCCAATTCACCATCGGGAGTCACCGTCACTGTTGTGGGTGGTCTCTACCGTCGTCATCCCCCCTAGCTTGTCGGAATCGCTAGAGTTGCAGGGCTGCCACCTGCATTCGTTGCCGGAACTAGGGTCTCCGGAAAAGGAGGGCGCTGAGCAGAACGGGGTGGGAACCCTTCCTTGGGCGATCGTCACCGGAAAGTCGCAGGGTCGCCGGGGTTCAGGGTCGCCATCTCTGTCGTTCGTCCGTGAAGAAGAAATGGGACGCGGCGCTAGGTTAATCGAAGAAGAAGAGGCGAAGAAGGAGATAGCCGCGTAAGAAATACCTAGGGTTTTGCTCCCTAATTTAAAATAACTTGTCTGAGTAAAAACACACTTACGATTGATTAATACTGATCAGTCTTTTAATTTAAATCTTTACAATTATAATCAGATTAGTTTCGTTATATTGAGATATTTAAAATCTCTAAATTATCTTTTAATTATTTAAAAGAATAAATTATCATAAATAAATAACTCTTATATATTTAATTAGCAAATAACTTCTTCGCCGGTTCTCAGGGCGTTACACCTTGTCTCAGCCCTTTCTCCCCTTTTATATACCCATGCTGACCCTCATTCACATTTATAGTATAAGTAGGGGTAGTTACACAGAACACTACCCACTTGATAAACATATCAGGGAAATTGAGGTATAGTAGCATACCTTTAATAGCCTCCCAACTTACTGTGTCATAGCTCATAGGCCTTATGTATATCAAGTTTCATCATACATCTTGATGATATATTCTTCCTGTTGTAGCCTTTAGCTATTTTCTGACACATAAGCACATTGTGAATTAGCTCCCTCCCCTGGACAAATGCTCCCTGGTTTAGATTAATAATATAGAGTAGGACTTCCTTCATTCTTAAGCAAATCATTTTGGAAATTATTTTGTAGACAGTATTACAGCAAGCAATTGCTTTGTAGTCCTTTGTATTTTTTGGATCTGAGATATTAGGAATCACTGTCAACAGAGTGGCATTCACTTGAAGGAGTGTTTTTCCCTCTCTAAAGAAGTCTAAAACTGCTTTTGTTGTCAACGCTTCTACCTCTTTCCATCTTCCGTGAAAAAACCCACTCCCATATCCATCTGGCCCTGGGCTTTTATTCTTAGGGATAGAAAAGACAGCTTCCTTAACTTGTACACTGAAGGGTCTGCAGTCTCATTTGTTGCTCCAAGGTTAGAATTCCTCCAGATTAGCTATGCTAGCATCAATCCCATTTGTTTGATTCTTTGTTCCCAGAATCTGGGTATAATACTTCACAAACATATTTGCAATGATATCTGTTCCTTCTACCATAATTCCTTCCTCATTCTGGATCTCCACTATGTTGGAACACACTTTTTATTACGTTTAACTAAAGTCGTGTTCACTTCTGACAGGTTTTGATAATTGCCAAACCGCCGGGGATATGAAGAGTTTCGTTGAACAATTCGAGGCGTGAAGAATGGCATGGAACAAGACCAAAAGGCTCAAGGACAAAGATCAAGAAATGAAGACTTAGTCGAGTCGGTCTTATTGTGATCAAAACCGACAATCAATTCAAGTCTCGGTTCTCAAAGAGTCAAAATAATTTTACAAAATCATAAAACGTTTTGGTGCATCAAATAAACGTTTTTTAAAAGTTTCATTGTATTAAAATCCCTAGTTCTTGCCCAGACCAAAAACCACCTCGGTCGGCGTTCGGCGTTCAGCATCGGCGTCCGGCATTTGGGGTTCGGCGTCCGGTTTTCGGCGTCCAAACCAACTCGGTGGTTTTTAATATTTTAAACCTCGTTTTTACCTCTGGGCATTTTTAAAAGGTTCCCAAATAATTATTTTATAAAAACCACTTTTGTATCTTGGTCAATCGGTCTAACACGTGAAAAACGGTCAAAACCGTACACACGTGACTAACGACCTCGAAGACTTGGTTTTTTATCAAACAAGTCTTGATTTCACTATTTTATACCATATACAATGTTTTTCAAACTTGGTTTTTACTTTTGGGAACACTTCAATTTTGGACCTCGGCTTTTCAGGTTAAGTTTCTCGCCGGATGGTTTTAGCCAGCTGAAAATCGATTGTCAGGTAATGACATTCGAATATTGGCTGCTGCAGTTCTGAACCTCAAGCTCAGAACCACCCAATAGTCGACTGACACCTATTGTCACTCGACTGTCTACGTTTAACTTCAAACCCAAAAACTTCTGAAAGGCCTGATAGTCGAATGACAGGTCTTGACAATCGACTATCAGTGTTACCTTTGTCCTCCAACGGATAGAATTTTAAATTTTTGGACAGGGAATCTTTTGATAATCGATTATTAAGCTATGACAATCGACTATCACCCTGTGTCTCTAAAAAATTTGTCTTCATCCTGTTGGAAAGTTTAGCAACGGGTTTATCCCAATTTAGGCTATAAAATGGCACCCAAATCCTCTCATATCAAACACAATTCTTCAACATTTCAATACTCTTTCATTGCATAAGCAGTCCGATTTCTTCTTAGATATTTGAGAGCCAATTCTTGAAGAAATTGTCGTATTCTTGAGCGTTTACTAGTTCACTCATATCTACTCTTTGTGAGAGTTTTATTCCCAAGTGTTTAAGTGTTTTTTATAAACTTTAAGGGAGGTTGTTCCCTTGTTGTAAACTCGAAGGAAGTCTTTCTTTCCTTCGTGAGAAGTCTTGGAGTGCGGTATCTCCGAGCAAAGGTGTTGAGGATCGTGTGACTCGAGTTCTCAAGTTGTATCGGTTTGTTGAGCACCTTTAAGCTTAACGGAGTTAGTGTAACTCGAGAGAATCTCTCGAAAGGCTGGATTAGCCACACGTTATGGTGAACCAGGATAAAATTCGATGTGCTCCTTCCTTACGCTCTTTACTTTATCGCTATCGTTTTTAATTTCCTGCGATTTTGTTTTAAACGCTATTCACCCCCCTCTAGCGTTGGGCCTATTTTCTAAAAATTGGTATCGGAGCCATACTCTCTTAAAGACTTAACCGTTTGAGAAAAACGATCAATGGCTTCTACTCAAAATTTTTACGCAGGAATAGGTGAAGGTCAATCTACCACGAGGCCACCATTATTTGATGGAACAAATTATACATATTGGAAAGAGCGGATGAGGATTTTTATTCAACCTAACAACTTTCTTTTGTGGAGAATAATTAAAAATGGTGAAGAAGTACCCACAAATAAATTTGGGGAAACCATCGTGCACAAAACCGAAGATGAGTATGATGAGCGGGATATCAAGAAGATAGAAAACAACGCCAAGGCTATCAACATCATCTATTGTGCCGTAAACCCGGATGACTACCGGAAGATTTCTTGTTGTTCTACCGCCAAGGAAATGTGAACAAGCTAGAAATCACATATGAACGTACGGATCAAGTCCGAGAAGCTAAATAGATTTTCTAACCCATGAGTATGAACTATTTGATATGAAGGAGAACGAGAAAATCGACCATATGTTTTAACGATTTTCAAAAATCGTAAACGATCTTCATGCTCTCAAGAAGACATACACGGACAAGGAGCTTGTGAGAAAAATCCTGCGGAGTCACACTGGAATGGCGCTCCAAAGCCGATGCTATCCAAGAATCCATCGGCATCACCAGTGTCACCATTGACGCGCTTAGAGGTAACCTCAAAATCTATGAGTCTACCATTCTTTACCCCTCTTAAGGTGAACAAAATAAGGATGTGATTGCACTCAAGGCGTCCACAAGTCAAGAACGTGATGTGGAGGACTCGAGTGACAAAGACGAGTTCGGGGTCGTGCTTAAGAAATTCCATAAGTTCATGCGCAAGGAATTTGAACGAAAAGGAAAGAAGCAAGGAGAACCACCCAAATGCTATGGGTGTGGAGAAGTTGGGCATATAAGACCAAAATGCCCAAATGCCAAGAATGAGAACAAACCGTTCAAGAAGCACCGAGCTTACATCTCGTGGGGAGGTGATTCCGGCGACGAGTCATCAGACGGCGATGAGAACAAAAGCGCCAACCTTTGCCTCATGGCACACGAGGAACCACCGGAAGAGGTATGTACCACTTCTAAAGATTCCTACACTTTTGATGATGTTCAAGAAGCTTTCAATGAACTTTACGATGAATATGTCAACGCTTTTAAAATTAACAAGGATTTAAAGAAACAACTTACTTCCATGGAGAAGGAGGCTGATAAGCTCTCAAAAGATAATGAAAAACTTAAAGAAGAAAACAAGTTTTTCGGAAAAAGAAGCGCCGACAAACCGGAAAGTTTCAAATGCAGCTCTTGTACATCACTTAAGCAACAAGTTGCAAAACTTGAAGGAACCTTGAATAAGTTTGGTGTTTCTCATAAAAATCTTAATGATGTTCTTCATAATTTTCAACTCACTAAACATGGATTAGGGTTTGAAAATGAAACTAATAATAATAAGGAGAAAGTTGAGCAACCACCTAAACAGCCTAAAGCTCAACTTAGGAAAAATAAAATAAGCAATAATAGACAACCTAGAACAACAAGGAACACTAGACCACCTAGAAAGAACACTAGGATGAACAATGGTCAAGTTAGAGAACCTATAAACAACTTTATAAATATGCACAAACAAAACTTTTTCTCAAACTAGGATCAATCAATATAGAAAACCTAGTAACTATTATCAACTTAGGAGAATGCATAACCCAAATGTCATTTGTCATTATTGCAATAGGGTAGGACATATAGCACCCGTGTGTTTTAGTAGGCATAGGCATTGCACGTATAACAAAACACACACTTTGCGTAGGACTAACCTAACGAGATCCCTTGAAAAAGTATACTCGAGGTCTAAGCGATCCCCGCAGGAATCAACACAAAAGAAACCATATTACTTCTTCTATTATGATGAAAAGAAGAAGATCCACATACCACTTCCGGAACCCACACAAATCCAACCAAGGTATAGGCACTCAGTTCAAGTAGACTGGAACCCGCCAACCCAAAGACCACAAGATGGTCAAGGTAACACTTAAACGTGAATATCGTACATGTGTGTGTGTGTGCGTTGGCGTGTGTGGCTATGGGTGCGTGTGTTTATTAATTTAAAAAGTCATGTTACTAATCCTCAAGGACCCAAAAGATCAAAAATTGGGTACCAAATGTTTTCATTCTAGGTGTCTAAGTCAGGGGGAACAAAGTAAATCGATTTTTGGTTTCCAAACTAGGTGTAAATCGATTTACAGGCTTGTGATAATCGACTATCACATCCCGCGGAAGTTTGGAACAAATCAGACGCAAACTTCAGATAATCGATTACTAACATTGTGTTAATCGATTAATTGAGGTCGCTGAATATTTTCAGACTTCAGACGCAAACCAGCGACAGTCAATTATCAGAATAGAGACAATCGACTAACAGGGGCTTCGGATTCTCCAGACAGGGATCAGAGGAGCTCAATAATCGATTTACCAAAGTTGTAAATCGACTAACAACGGCAGATTTTCAAAAATCTGACCGTTTTCTAGCCGTTTGGGGAGCATTTAACTCTTTTTTGACCACCCCAACGGATCTCCAAAGCCTCCTCTCTATATATTGGTGATATTTCTTCATTTTTTACTCATTCCAATCCAAATTACTTCATATATTCATTATAATTCCTCAATTCTTGCTATTGTTCTTTAATTCTTAGCCAAATTTCTGCAAATTCCCCCAAAATCCTCTGTTCTCTCTCTACTATGTTGAAATGGCAGGAGGACAAAGAAAGCGTTCCCGCACCGGCGCACAAGTACCTTGATGGGTTGTTCCTTTGGTTCAACGACCGTGCCGAGGCGACGCGGTTCTCGGAGAAGTTTGAGCACCAGGAAATTCTTCCTCCCCGGTTCTCCACTGCCCGCTTCATTCATGATTCCATCCCACGCGAGGCACGAATTATCCTCGAGCGTGGAAATTTCCTCGATCTCCTCTACATCAAGAAGGCTCACTATTAACCCTTTCTCGTTCGAGCTTTCTACTCGAACTTGACAAAGGATGAGGACGGAGCGTTGATTTCAAACGTCAACGGAGTGGATATCTATTTGAATGAGGAGAACATTCAAATACTCACCGGGCTTCGTCGGAATGGAGAGGATCTCGGTCTCTACGTCGGTGTGGGAGGGGCACGGTTCAACGAAACCGCCCTCTTGGAGGAAGTGGGAATCCGAAACTTTGCCCCCACTCCTAAACAGCGGCGCCCGACGATTACTTCCATAAATCCCCTGTTTCGATTCATAATTTATGTTTTGACACAGGTCCCTCAAGCCAAGGAAGTACAATCACACCGCTCTCTCCCAAGAGGACACCAAAACGCTTCGTGCGATGATTCACAACGCCAACATTAATTGGTGTAAATTTGTGACGACTCACATGTTTAACGCCACCTTCGATGATCGGCCGCTCCCCTACGCCCTCCTCGTTATGGCAATTCTTGATGAGTACAACATCAAGACCGACGTTGGGCCGAAGATAAAGGGGACAAAGCATTGGGAGATTGATGAATCCGTCTTCCACTCGGGCACCGACGAGACTCCGTTTCGACAGCCTCGTCCACGACGTCAACCAAGGGATGCTTCTTCAAACACCCCTTTTCTTGCCGAGCAAATGGCCGCCCTGACCGCCACTCTTTCTCGGATAGACACCAACGTCTCCCAAACAGCCCAAAACGTCAACATTTTGAGCCGTGAGCTCCACGGGTATTTTGACTTTGTCAACTACCCTTATGCTCAAATGGTCCCTTACGCTCCTCCGCCAAACTTCGGTGGTGAACCAAGCGGGACTAATAACGTTGGTGGAGAAGAAGAGGTGAACGATGAGGAAGAAGAGGAAGAGGAAGCCGAAGGAGAAGAAGAAGAAGAAGATGATGATGATGATGATGATGAGGATGGAGAGGAAGAGGAAGAAGAAGACATCGACGAAGAACAACTCCTCGATGATCTTTCACCAGACTTCTAGAGCTCTAGCTCTTTTCTCTTCTCTTCTTTAATTATTATGCATTTTAAATTTGCTTCCGTTATGTACTCCGCTATTTCCCTTATTTAATAAATTAAAAATCTTTATGGTTTTTTTAAAATCCTTTTGTTAATGTCAAAAGGGGGAAGATAAGGGCTATGCATATCTTAAGGGGGAATTTTTATTAAGGGGGAATTTCTTTCAAAAAGATCAAAACCCTTTGCATATCCCCGTCTTGTTTTTGCCATTATCAAAAAGGGGGAAATTGATGGAACACACTTTTTATTACGTTTAACTAAAGTCGTGTTCACTTCTGACAGGTTTTGATAATTGCCAAACCGCCGGGGATATGAAGAGTTTCGTTGAACAATTCGAGGCGTGAAGAATGGCATGGAACAAGACCAAAAGACTCAAGGACAAAGATCAAGAAATGAAGACTTAGTCGAGTCGGTCTTATTGTGATCAAAACCGACAATCAATTCAAGTCTCGGTTCTCAAAGAGTCAAAATAATTTTACAAAATCATAAAACGTTTTTGTGCATCAAATAAACGTTTTTTAAAAGTTTCATTGTATTAAAATCCCTAGTTCTTGCCCAGACCAAAAACCACCTCGGTCGGCGTTCGGCGTTCAGCATCGGCGTCCGGCATTTGGAGTTCGGCGTCCGGTTTTCGGCGTCCAAACCAACTCGGTGGTTTTTAATATTTTAAACCTCGTTTTTACCTCTGGGCATTTTTAAAAGGTTCCCAAATAATTATTTTATAAAAACCACTTTTGTATCTTGGTCAATCGGTCTAACACGTGAAAAACGGTCAAAACCGTACACACGTGACTAACGACCTCGAAGACTTGGTTTTTTATCAAACAAGTCTTGATTTCACTATTTTATACCATATACAATGTTTTCCAAACTTGGTTTTTACTTTTGGGAACACTTCAATTTTGGACCTCGGCTTTTCAGGTTAAGTTTCTCGCCGGATGGTTTTAGCCAGCTGAAAATCGATTGTCAGGTAATGACATTCGAATATTGGCTGCTGCAGTTCTGAACCTCAAGCTCAGAACCACCCAATAGTCGACTGACACCTATTGTCACTCGACTGTCTACGTTTAACTTCAAACCCAAAAACTTCTGAAAGGCCTGATAGTCGAATGACAGGTCTTGACAATCGACTATCAGTGTTACCTTTGTCCTCCAACGGATAGAATTTTAAATTTTTGGACAGGGAATCTTTTGATAATCGGTTATTAAGCTATGACAATCGACTATCACCCTGTGTCTCTAAAAAATTTGTCTTCATCCTGTTGGAAAGTTTAGCAACGGGTTTATCCCAATTTAGGCTATAAAATGGCACCCAAATCCTCTCATATCAAACACAATTCTTCAACATTTCAATACTCTTTCATTGCATAAGCAGTCCGATTTCTTCTTAGATATTTGAGAGCCAATTCTTGAAGAAATTGTCGTATTCTTGAGCGTTTACTAGTTCACTCATATCTACTCTTTGTGAGAGTTTTATTCCTGAGTGTTTAAGTGTTTTTTATACACTTTAAGGGAGGTTTTTCCCTTCTTGTAAACTCGAAAGAAGTCTTTCGTTCCTTCGTGAGAAGTCTTGGAGTGCGGTATCTCCGAGCAAAGGCGTTGAGGCTCGTGTGACTCGAGTTCTCAAGTTGTATCGGTTTGTTGAGCACCTTTAAGCTTAACGGAGTTAGTGTAACTCGAGAGAGTCTCTCGAAAGGCTGGATTAGCCACACGTTGTGGTGAACCAGGATAAAATTGGGTGTGCTTCCTCCTTACGCTCTTTACTTTATCGCTCTCGTTTTTAATTTCCTGCGATTTTGTTTTAAACGCTATTCACCCCCCCCCTCTAGCGTTGGGCCTATTTTCTAACACTATATAATTCTGAGCAGTTCTTTTTTTGATCCATGCATAAAACAGTTTAGAACCTTTATCTCCCTCAGTAATCCATTCCTGTTTACTCTGCTGACACTTCATGCTATATGAAGCTTTGATTGCTTTATATAGCTTGTCCCTTAGTTCCTTTTCCTCTTCAAACAGTTCCTTAGTCATTTGGGTTTGTTGTAGCTCTTGCTGGAAATTTTTCAACTTCTCTCTGGCCTCTTCCTTCTGCACACGTATCCTATTGTATTTTGCCTTATGTAGCTTCCTTAAGGGCCCCTTCAGCTTCTTCATATTCTGCATTAGCTGGAACATATTCGTATTGGAACTCTCACTTCTCCATTCCTCCTTCATAATTTCATCCAAGCTTGGATCCTCCAACCACATGTTACAGAATCTAAAAGGTTTTGCTTTGTTATAGTCTACCCTAGTGATCAGTAATGGGGTGTGGTCAGAGATACCTTCACTAAGAATTCTAGTTTTTGTACCATATTTACTCATCCACATGGCATTAGATAATACCCTGTCTATTCTAGACCAGATTCTGTTACCTGGCCCCTGTTTGTTTGACCATGCAAAGTAAGGTCCTACCTAAGGTTTTTCCTCTAGCCCACAATCCAATACACATGCCTTGAAGTCCTTTATTTCATCATTACTGACCCAATTACCTCTTTTTCTATTCTCAATCTCCAATACAGCATTATAATCACCCACACAACACCAAGGAGACTTCATATTCTGGCCATAACCCTTCAGACTTTCCCACAGCTGCATTCTACTCCCTTGATCATTGAAGGCATAAACAAAAGTAATCCAAAAATACTCATTATTCATCAGCTACCTAGCTTTGTAGTGGATAGTTTGTGCAGTCATGTCCACTACCTAGATATGGGCTTTGCTTTTATTCCAAGTCACCCATATCCTCCCCAGAGGGTGGAATTCACTATTGTTGATCATACCCCATCCTCTAAGCATCTTATTAATAATCTCCTCCTCTTTCTCTCTTTTTATTTTAGTTTCTAAGATACCCATGATGCTAACTCCATATTTATTAACCAAATTCTTTATTTCCTACTGTTTATTGGGGTTATTGAGACCCCTAACATTCCAACTCAGGATCATGTTAAGAAGGGATAATGTCATGTATAGGGAGCATAACTCCAATCCCCCTTATACAGTTCATCAATTGTCAGCCTTCTTGCACTCTTCTTCTTACTAACTAACTGAAATCCTTCATTATCCTCCACTGGCTCTTTTTCCTCCATTTGGACCTCTTCCTGCACCTCTACTTTCTCCTGTTTTTTCCCTTCTTCATGGACAGTTTCTTCATCTTGTTTCTCTTTAGGTCTCCATACTTTTTTAATGACTCTTCTCCCTGTTTTTCCCTCCAATTTTTCTGCATTCTTCTCTAGTATGTCCCATTCTGTTACATTTTGCACATATAGTAGGCTTCCACTCATATTCCACACTCTGAGAAATTACTCTACCCTCTTCATCAGCAAAGTGAACAATATTAGGGAACTCTTGTTGCACCTGCACCTCCACTTGTATTCTAGCAAACCCCCACTTTGCTCTTACAGCAGTTGCTCTATCTCTTCTCACTGGTTTGCCAATAATACTTCCTAACTTACTCAATCCAGTTAAGCTCCAATACTTCATATTCAGTCCTGGAAACTAAACCCATATTGGCACATCCTTCAGTTCCGTAATATCAATTTGGTTTCTAGGGCTCCAAGCTTGTACATAGACTGGTTTATTATCAAAATAATAATACTTCCTTTTAAGTATTTCATCCCTTTCCTCTATGTGACTGAAATAGACCACAAATTGTCCCTCTTTCAAGTAATTCACCTATTTTATCTTGTAATCTTTCCAGATTCGTCGCACAAATCCTTCAATGACCACTACTGGGGGATTAGCTCCTAAAATACATAACACTAACGCTTGATCCCAAAATCCCAGATCCTTAATCAGATCATCTCTTGACATTCTGGCCAAATACTGTCCATTAATTTCCTCAAATTTGATGTAGGTAAGGCCATATTCAATTTTTTCCTTTCCTTCTAATACTTCAGCATATGACCCCTTCTTCATCCGACTTTCTAGATCCTTATTCTAGTACTCTCCTTCCATAATTTCAATATTATTCCCCCCATTGTTACCCAAATCCTTAAGTGTTTCAAGAGAGTTTCTAGTTACCTCACCAGGAGTTTTAGGGCTAGCACTCAATCCCCCCCAATTTTGATTTCTCAGTCTCACCCTGTGCAGAGCAATTCCCAGACTCAATATCTGCTAATTTTGGCGTTGATTGCATCTACATAGCTTCCTTCCTGGGTCATCCTCATTTCTTGCCATCTAGAGAGAGAAACAAATTGAGCCCATATTCAATTTGTTCAAATTTCACAGCGGATACGGTCATAATTGTAACTCCCCAAAACATACCCTAGAATTATTAATGGATAATTATTCAAATTAATCAAATTTGTTTTGATTAAAATAAATTTTTGTTGGGCTTTGGACCGAAAATAAAATATATAATGATATCCAATAAACATAATTGGGATAAATCTCATAGAGATAAATACAACATGTTGACTTATTGTGTGATCTTGATTGGGAACTTGAGTACAAACCCAAATTAAGAATAAACGAAGAAATTGTTTACTATGTGAACTTTGAAATGATTTATTGAAATAAACCATGAGAATAAATTAAATGTGAGAACCTTTTATGATAAAGGTCAATTAAACCAATTTGGACTCTGTCAAAGTCAAACACAAAAAATATGATGTCAGAAAAAGTATTACAAATAAATATAAAAATTATATCGTTGAATAGAGTTCGACTGTCCAATCGCAACGGTGCAAACGGAATTCAATTTGGAGAAAGTTGGACCAAAAAGTGTACCCCGACTGGAACCAAAATTGGTCCCAATCAGGGACTTGCGTATTAAAAATTGGAAATCGCCGCTAGGCGCACTACGCCGATCGCGGATCTGCAAATGACACACAACTTGGAGTTTTCCTCTTCTTCTTCACAATAAAAGGAGGACCAACTCTTCCTCATTTCTTCACCATTCTCCCTCAAATTTGTTTGAAGAGTTAGCCTTAAGTGTAAGGAGTGTTGTGGTGCTGTCAATTTGGTGTGGAATCGCCAGAGTTAAGAGTTATCGTCGCTGGAAGTTTCGCCAGAAAATTTCTAAAACCTCCATTA